TAAACAGGCTGAATGACGTCGTGGTTCGGATTCGTAAGTCTTCGAACTCTAAACCTAAAGTCGTTCATTACGACAGGTTAGCTCATTACTATGGCCATAGTACATAATGTAAATAATTGTAAATAGTATAAGACCATGGTCCTTTTTGTTTTAAATGTGTATTTGATTTGTATTTGATTTGTATTTAGTATTTGATTTGTATTTAGTATTGTTTTTGATTTAGTATTTGATAGCATTTGATTTGTTTAAGTTAGTATTGCATTTATTGTTCATGTTGTTTGATTATTGTAATGTAATGCTTATGCCTAGTTGCATTTATGCCACAGTTGTAAGTTTTGCTTCCTGTCCAGGGATTGTACTGCCCGGGACGTGCAGTCCTTGGGAAGGGGGCAGTGTTACGAATTTGGTATTTAAAAAGCTAATGTTAGTTCAATTATAAATTAAATGGTTTTATTTCTCGCGCAGTGCAGCGCGTGACGAATATTAAAAGAAAGCTAAGCCGGAAAATTGAAAATACAAGAGCGCGTGCATTAAATAAATAAATATCTCTTTTTGATTTCGAGAAAGTACTGGAAAATTCTAGCGCGTGATTTTAAAATCTTATAAAAGGAGGAAAACATCTCAGTTTGTAGTAGTTGCTTAGTTTGTTGTTGTTTAGAAAACTACTGTTGTTGATTGTAGCGAATTCGCGGATTAGCGTTCTTTAGCTGTTTTGAATTACGTTCTATTGGACATTTGAGTAGTTAAAAGAAAACTACTGTGAGATATTGTAATACTGCATGATAATTTGAGAAAATTTAAGCATTTTTGTTGTGATAATAATAAATTTTTGTTCATTTTTCATCGGACTTGTGCATTCATTTCATAACGAACCCGTACGCACGCAATATGTATATATGTGCATTAAGGCATTTGAAATCCTCTCCCTGCCCCCCTTAGAAAAAAGAATTAAAATTTGAGTATTATTTGAAATAATAATAATTTAACGGGTTCTAGCATTTTAGTTAAAAGCATTTTCAAAACTTTAAGAAAAATAAGCACCTCTAATTACTTATACACAACTGCATAACCTTAAAAATTAGACTTGTAATTTAAAATATGAGAAATGCAGTATTTATTAAGAGAGAATAAGCATTACCTCAACCATGGAAAATAATTACTTTTTTTTTTTTTTAATTTTAAATAATAATTCAATTTACAGAACTAGTTTACAATGAGAGGAAAAAAAAAAAACTATGCAGAACTAAACTATAGTGCAGGATTTAATGATGAAATTTCAGTTCAAAATAGAGAAAATAAATAATAATAAGGCATATTTATTGTATTCACTAGGAACCTAATAATAAATACAACTTTATTTTTCCACTCATATTGATATTTAAATAATTTTAATCTAAATTCTGAACATTTTCTAAATTTTATTGTATATCAGTTTTCTCTTAACAGATATTGCAAGCAAAGTAATTTAAGTAAAAAAGAGGAACATTTCTGAAATCAGAAGACAGAAATTTGCTTCATGCAAATTTTTCCATTTTCATCCTTTAACAGTAAAAGCTTAACTAACCCGCATACTTGGAAATTGGTGAATATTCGGACAGTCGAGCGTAACTTGAAAAAGAGGAGCGGAGGGGGGGGGGGGGGTAGACTGTAGCCGCTCTTTAAATTTTTCCGCTAAATAAATGCTTTTGACATTTCGATATGCGCATCATATAAAAATAAACCAATGGAACTGAAAAATATTTTGCTTAGCAAGCACAGTAAAACTCTTTTAAGTGTTCATAAACAAATCTCGGACAGAACATCAAAATTAATTATCTCTGCAAAATATTGCAAGCGTTATTGCGCAATACGTGCGCCGTAATTCTTCCCTACGTGATATTACGCAAATCGGAATCAACAGCTGCCGGTATTGGGAGAATAAAGAACTAAATAACATTGGGGTGTTTTTTCATTCTAATTTTCAACAGACGGCGTTAAATTTTCCAGAATAGAATCATTCTTCACTTGGGTTGGTAGACCTGCAGAACTTTTAGTCCTATTCAATCCAGATTGGAAAGTGACAAAAAAAAAAAAAAGTCCGTTGCTTGTTTTGCAGCGAACTGTAACAGTTTCAATATTCGAGATTTTGCAGAGAAAGGGGAGAACCTCCCAATCTTCGTACTGTATAATGTATTGGCCAAAAAAACAAAATTATTTTGACTATTCGATTACTTTCCCTTTATTTATTACTTTCGCATTTCTTTGACCAATAGAATGACGGGCACCTGTCTGTACTCTTCGTGCACACCAAAGGTTATGTTAATGCAGAGAAAGGGGAAATGCTATTTCCGGGAGTATGATTCACCATCTAACATTCCATATTAGGAAGAAAAGTTGTTTATTTAGTTTCGGCTTTGGTACCGGGAAAAATAGCGCGTTCATTAAAAAAAAAAAAAAGCACTAAAAGCAAAAAAACAAGCACTAAAAACAAAAAAAATAAGGGCTTTAAAGAAAAAGTAAGCACCTATAAGGGCCTTTATATTTTATTTTCAAATATAAGGACTTATAAGCACTTATAAGGAGCGCTACGAACCCTGTTTAAATTTATTTACATATTTTCCAAAATTAATAATAAAATATACACTAAATATTACCAATCAAAAATTTCATTTTACTTCATATACTATATAATACTTCCATTACATCCAGCATTAAATGATACTACTGTTACAAATGTCAAATTTGTAATATGAAGTTGCCAGAAACTTAGCAGATAAATTTTTAAAAAATTGCCATGCCCTTTTTTAAAAAAAAATTAGCACAGTTCTATTCACTGAATTTTACTATAAGATAATTACTCTTATAAATTTTCTCACAGCTCCTCAGTTTCTCAGACAGAACCATACTGAAACTTAAGTTTAATTTCCTACATCTTACTGAGAGGTAACTAGTTGCTATGTTTAATGCTTTATATAATTTCAAAGCATGGTTTGAAAACTATTTATACACTGCAAAAAAAGTCCTGTACATTCAAGTACAAAAATACAGCAAGTAATAAGTTTCCTGAATATCAGCCCATAACATGTAAAAACTATTTTAAAATATAACTAATAATATATTGACAATAAGACAATGATGCAAGGAATTCCAAAAAATTTAAGCATATTTGAAAGTTAGTAATACTTAAAGTATGACAAGAAGCATGATTTCAGAATAAGCAATAATAACAAATGCACTCACATATTCTACAAGACTTTTCACAAAACTACACCAGAAAATTTACAATTCACATTTTTGACGACTGGAATCAGGGGCGTAGCTAGAGTTTCTAGTGCCCGGGGGCAACTGAAGAATTTGCGCCCCTTTCTGTGTGCCAGAAATGGAAAATATTTTATTAAAAAATTTCGTAGTATCAATTTGGCGCCCCTTGGATGCTGCGCCCGGAGACAGATGTCCCCCCTTGCCCCATCCCTAGCTACGCCACTGACTGGAATGAATTAGAGTTTTGCATAATCAAAAATAGCCAAATAACTGAAAAACAGTTATTAATATTTACTTAACTATTACAATAAAATAATAGGTTTTTTGAATCTATGCTTTATGTAATCATGATTACACTAAGGAACAATTTGTAACACAATTTCTGTTGATTTCGATTCTTCAGCTGTTTTAGATAGGCAAGCCGATTTCAAAAATGTAGCTAGTTGTCTTCTATTATGTCAAGTGTTCTCCCTACATCTTATCTGAAAGTGGCAACTCTTTGATACATTGAGTGTGAATCATAGGAAGCACTACGGCTCTCTGGCTGACATAAATCCTTTGACTGGTGCCGGGTGAATGATGCCACATGACACCAGCGACAAGTGCATACTTGTTAGAGTAGTTTAGTTACACCTGAGATCCTGTAGTAAGATGTTGTGTGTCACTCTGATATAGTGAAGTGCATTCCAACGTGGAAGTTGTTTTTCTGCAATACCTTCAAAGTGATGATGGATTTGTATACTGCCATAATTTACATGGTTTAATGGAAAAGTTGGGAATTTCACTCAATGGCAATTGTTCATTGTTAGCTCAAAGCAGAGCATGAAGTTTGTCCTCCACAATAGAAATTTATTTGGTGCAGCCCCAACAGGCCATTTAATTGTTTGTGTGAAGAATATAAAGACATGCAGAGCTTATGAAAAGCACTGAGTGCAGATAAATTGTCTTCTAAGATCTGACAGGAAATCCGGTGATCCAAACATTCTACATCAGCAACTTGTTAACAGAAAGAACATCAAACTTCTGCACATAAAAACTTAATCTCATGAAGCAATTTTTTAAAGCTTTGCCAGTTGAAGAAGACTACTACTTCAAGTAAACTCATCACTGCATTCCCTAGCCTGTCATTTAAAAAGATAAAGGCTGGTGTGTTTGATGGTCCACAGATTTGACAGCTCCTTAAAGATAAACATTTCATTGGGCCAATAATAGAACTTCTAAAGAATACTTGGTTCACATTCAAAAACATTGTCTAAGAATTTCTAGGAAACACACAAGCACAGAGTTATGGCGAAATTGTTCAAATGCTTGGCTGCAACATGAGCATCAAACGTATTTGTTTATGTAGCCATCTTGATAACTTTGCAAAAGCATCTTGGTGCATCTTGGTGATGAGCAAGGTGAGTGATTCCACCAAGATCTAAGGTAAAATTTTTATTATCAAAATTTAACATATCATACTATATAGCCCTCATGTGAATATATATACTATATAGCCCTTGTGTGATAAGTTTTCTCTTTCCTTTATACACATATTTTGTATGACTTTTGAGACAAAAAGACCGTATAGCTTAGAAAGTTGATATGACAAACAAAAACTGAGGTTATTTTGGGATTCAGAAGCCCAAAGTTAAGTGATAAACAAGCTACAGGTCCCAGACAACAAAACTGCTGTTCCCCAGTGTTACGTATTTTTAATCCTTAGCTTAATTAATAAAGAATTTTAAGATAGCTGTCTGTTATAGATTAAATTTTATTACCATGATCTTTTCATGCCTCAATTCCTCAAAACTCGAAGAAACTTCTCTCAAGCGCTTTTCATAATTAGATATTTGGGTTTCAGCATCATTAAGTTTCTGATTTTCAACTTCAAGTCGATGTTTATAGGAGTTCTCTAAAGAAGCAGTTTCAGCTTTAGCGGCCTTTACTGCTTCTTCCTACAAAAATGGGAAAATACTTTTTAACTAAAAGCTTACTAAATATTTATAGCAACAATACATAATTACCTTATATTATTAAGTATTATTTTGCAATTAGTTCTCTTTATCTTTCATCCATTAAATTTAATAACTAAAAGTTTTATTATTACTAAATTATTATTCTTTATTTTATCATCAGAGAAAGAAAAATAGTATTATGAGGGAGCAATTTCTATTTAATAATTTTAACACTTATAGCTGACTTACAAACATTTTTTCATTAATGAATTTCAATCTATACCATTTCTTTAAATCGTTAACTTGATTACTTATTATTTCTGCCATAAAAAAAATTTATAAGAAATCAGAAGTTCTCTGTAATAGCTGTGTACTGATATAACAAATTACTTTTTCATTCATAACTTAAATAAAGAAATTATTGCATCAAACTTTTAAAATAATTTAAATAATATTTTTCAAATAAGCAAATAATAATGTATTTTGAAGAATACAGAAAACAAATGCCTTATGAAGTTAAATAATTAAAATAACACAAAATCAAGTGTTCCTGATTTCTTTTATTTATATAGCATTAACATTTGTTTAGAATGCAAACACCACTTTAAATTACTGAACTTCATATTTTTAAAGTGTTAAACTATAACATATGGATCTAACTAATAACAGTACTGCGTTTTCTCCCTTTGCTAAGCTCTTAAAAATAGTCATGTAATAAAATTTTAGGTAAACACATATATAACTTTTTCTAAATGTACGAAATTTTTAACATACCTTTTCTAACAAAATCTGCTGTTGCAAATTTGCCATGCAGCTATTGATATTTTCCACAATTTGTGAGACTTCAGACATCCTTTCCCAAAACTCTTCTTTTACAAATGTTTTCAGGTTGGACAAATCACTCCGGAAACTACCTTGTAGCTCTTGAATGAATTTCTGTAATGCAGATATTTTGGCATGCAGCTTCAGTATAATGGAGCGGCTATTCTTCATTGAACTCTGAAAGCAGCAATGCCTTTCATTCACTACACTACAAACTAAGAACTACTGACTGGCAATCCTGGTGATCTTAAAAGCGTAACAACAAGAGGACAACATGCAATTTTTTTTTTTTTTTTTTTTTTAGAAAGCATGTTTTTAAATGTTACTTATTTATTTAGTTTAATACTAATGTAAATTTTTTTGGTAGGTTAACTAATCACAGCACACTACATATTTATCTAAGCTAAAACTATAATTTGTAAAGCATTTTAATAAGTAAATAACAATGGTGTCATATAGTCATAAGAATAACACTTATGGGTTTTTTTTTTTTTTTTTTTGGGGGGGGGGGGGGTAGGTTAACTAACTAATCAACATGTTTGTTAAAATTTTAGCTTGGATATATATTTATCCAAGCTAAAATTTTAACAAACATGTAAATAGTACAAAAGCAAATTTAAAGTTAAAATAATTAAAAAAATGTGCAAACATATAAAAGATTTAATTTTCGAACTAATCTATGAATTTAAATGATATTGAATTTAAATAATATTGTAGATTAGTTTGAAAATTAAATCTTTTATATGTTTGCACATTTTTTTAATTATTTTAACTTTAAATTTGCTTTTGTACTATTTACATGTTTGTTAACTTTTCGAACTAATCTATGAATTTAAATGATATTGAATTTAAATAATATTGTAGATTAGTTTGAAAATTAAATCTTTCATATGTTTGCACATTTTTTTAATTATTTTAACTTTAAATTTGCTTTTTTACATATTTACATCTTTGTTAAAATTTAAATTTCATTCCTTGCAGCAATGGCGCAAAGAATTAATTAAATTTGTATTTAAATTCAATTTATTCTTTTGAAACAATTAATCCAAGCTAAAACTTATAATTTGTAAAGCATTTTAATTATTAATTTAATTAGTTCCATAGGTGTCATATAAGAATAACAATTATGTTTAAGGCATGTTTCAAATGTTACTTATTTATTTAGTTTAATACAAATGCAATATATATACACACATATTTAATCGATAATAGAGCATACTACAAATTTATCTAAGCTAAAATTACAATTTGTAAAGCATTTTAATAAGTGCCTTCCATAGGTATCATAGATTCATAACACTTTTTTTCGGGGGGGGTTACCTGTATTAGAAAGCATGTTTTAAATGTTACTCAGTTCCACTGGTGTCATACATTCATAAGAATAACAGCACAATTTAAATATCCTTACTAGGTGTAATTTCCCTGAATTAATAAATACCCAAATAAAGGAAATCTTACAGATCTTTATTGATAAAAATATTTCTTCAAATTAGTCCATAATGTACCAAAGTAGAATTTTTTAAAAACAAATATGTAGCTATGTTAGAATATTTTCATTTCATAAGCATTTTTTTGCCAAACAAAATGGCAATAAAGACCATATACGTCTACTCTGGTACTTCAAATGCATAATTATCTTACATCTACTAATGTATTACAGCTACATCATATCTGCCGAATGTATGAAATCCATGCAAAATTTTGTGATCAACTTATAATATACCTCCAAGAAGATTTTTACATAGTCAACTTTCAAAGTAATAATATTAAATCCTCTTGCATTTCTGACATCATAAAAGTACTTATTACTCACCATGATACTATTAATTTACTTAAAATGTGAAATTATGTGATCAAATTTACATACAAAAGTTACAATTATAAATACAAGTTTTGGTAAATTCAATTTTAAAACCCAATTTCTATCTACTGTAACATGTCACAATAAATATAAGCAATATATAAAAAAAAAAATCTCTTACAGATACTTTATAGTATTACACTAAATTGTTACACATGCAATTAATAATGAACGAGCTAATGTGCATTACTTTCAGTGTATATTTCACTCAAGCAATCACAAAAGAAAATTACTAGGAAAAGAAAGCATACTGCAAGATTTGTTAATGCATGTGAATACAGGTGTAAGAAAAAAATGCACATGAAATCACAATAAATTTGCAACATAAAAACATTAAAGAAACACGAATAATAAAAATCTTATACATAAAAACAGTATAACAGATATGAGTAATATATAATGAACACTGCTTAACAAGTGCTGAACTAAAAATAGTAAAAGCTTGATTATCCATATCAAACAAAGTGACATGGAAATCTTGTGAGATGCAGCTGAATTACTGTTTTGACACTTTGTCATGGCTGGTCTGGTTTGTCTTTCATCTACAAAAAAAATGCTTTCGTGCAATTTTTATTGCAAGAAATGATTTCCCCCCCACTACATGCATACATGTGTATATAATAAACATTTACATATGCATACAGGTACAAATGGATGGGATACCAGAATTTCCCGCTACGTTGTATAGTCCTATCATACTAACTCTACAACTCTCCCCAGAGAGGGAGGTCCTATTCCTCTTCCCTTACCATCAACCAACTTTCAGCTTACCATGTTATTTTGAGAGCCCCCTTGCCGCATAGACATTATACACACACAAGCAACCACACCATCTCTGGAATTCGAACCCGGGCCCAAGAGTATGGCAGTAGCATCACTAACCACTCTAAACTCAGAAGTCATGCTTTGTTCAACAGCAACATAAATAGCACAGGCAAAACTCAGGCAAGAATACCTACTGCTTGCAATTTATGTTTCTTAGGTAGATGTATAGTAAATAAAGGATGCATTCATAAGATGTTTTTAACAGCCTATTACATAATCAATGTTCTAACAGTAAAACTAGCTGCCATAAATGACTTCCAAAAGCTATAGATGCTGCAAAGCAAAACCCATAAAAATATTTTGAAACTTCTTCATTTGTCTAGAGCAATTCTATCCATAGGGATTTGAAAATATTGTACACTGAAGACAATTTTAATAAACTCAACACTAATTTTGACTATGGTGTTTCCATCAATGAGGTTTACTAATGTGAAAATTTTTAACTGTGAAATAAATATAGGTTCATTATAAATGATGTATCGAATTTCAGTATACCGTTTTATAAAACATTTGAAAAAATAAGCATTATTGATGACTCTTAAGTTCTTTTAATATTGCTAGCAGTGAAAGTATACAACCATTGTTTTTATAACACCCCTACATGGTCAGGCAAAAGGTCAGGAGATCTCAATAGCCATCTAAATTAAACTAGACTAGAAGAGAAACACGCTAATGTGACAATCAAAATCGTAAAAACAACCTTGTATTTAGCGTAAGTATAATGAAACACTCAATCGATTTCGAGGGCAGCTAAAGGTCCCTCCTCATCCATCCTCATTGTGCCCTTTTCACAAAATGTCCACTGACAGGAACCGATTTTGTAAGTTACGCCTTAAGCTTACGAAATTCTTGAATCATCTACAGTTTCTACTTAAATGCAAACATCAAAATATCATTCCCAAATTTATACATGTGAAATGTAGCCTTAAAGCTTCCGTTCACGATTCAAAAATTTTTGCATAAATTCAAATTGGCACTTCTTTGTCACATTATAAGAGACGCAAACGTTTTATCTAAAATTGAATTTGAATTATATTACCTCCATTTAAAAATTGCTAATTCCACTGAAAATTTTTCCTCATTTGAACATACATCCTGGTCTAGAACCGATACCGTTTGTCAATGGCATAAAAATGTGCTTACTTCTAAATTCTTTAAACTCACACACCAGTCGGATAGTCCCAACTATCTAGCTGATCTTCCCACTGTCCACCTTCTTCCCACCTCCTCACGTTTGGTACTACCAGAGGGTATAAAAATCCGTTCAGTGGTTGCTTTCCATTATTTGAAGTTCAGATTTTGAGCGTGAAGGTGCATTTGCCCCTCGCTCCCTATTTTAACTTCGCTAATTTTCCTTGTCCTTTATGCTTGATCAGATAGCCTGGCTCAGTAAAAGTAGGCAGCCAGTGCAACTCTGATTAAAAATCCAGTTATAACCACGTGCTGTGCTGATAAGGACCACGTGTTTCTGAGACTCCTTCTCCTTTATTTTCTTCTTTCTAGGTATTTCTTTCTCTTGATGAGGAGGGACCTTTAGCTGCCCTCGAAATCGATTGAGTGTTTCATTATACTTACGCTAAATACAAGGTTGTTTTTACGATTTTGATAGCCATCTAAATAATGCTAAATCATCAATTACATCCAATAATGAGAGAGATTATTATTCTGGCAGTAACGTACTTCACTGTGCCAATGAGATGTGACCCCATCTTGGTTGAATTTAAAATTTTCTGGATTATCCTTCACTTAAGGAAATAACCACAATTGTAATGGTTCACTCATCACAGCATCTCTTTTACAATAACCACATATTTGATCAAAAGCAATTTGCAAGAAATAACTAAAATATGCATAATAAGATATAGACTGATATATATACCAGCAAAGAAGGATGGAAAGACACATGCATATAGCTAAGTCTTACAGAAGAGTCAACCCTGCAGGTTTGGCTTTAGACTAGCAGTTGGTGTCAACTAGCCACTAGATGATCCATGGCAACTTCATCACAGTATTTCTGAAGGAAAAAGGGATCATAAACCTGTGTCTGTGAAATGTAATAATGCTTATTTTGATGCCTATTTCTGTTTGATAACAGCATAAGAATTTTTCTATGTCTTATATGGATAATGACATAGTTTACCATTCTGTACAATGAAACATCATTTCATCATTGAATTTTAAATGGATGGCAAAATTCTCACACAACGGCTGTTACGCATGATTACCAAATTCATACTGTCAGATACAATCATCTGAAAAAGGTATGGTGTCAGGCGCAATTCCCACTGCATGATCTACCTAATGGTTGGCTGCAGGATACTAAGTTCATTGCCACAGCAATTCATTGATTTCTATCAGCTATGCACAAAATTCTTTCTATAATACAAATCTAGGACTTTTTCTAGAACAATATCCTTTATTTTACACATGTGATCACTGATCTTGAACTATCAGGACCTTCACATAATGTTTGGATGGTCAGATGCATCTATATCATACTGTCTTCAAAATATGCACAACACAAACACAATATATTATATTCTAATGCATTAACCTTTTTCTGCTGTAAACCTGCCACTTAAAAAATGGAGCTTACACTTGCTTAAATATGGAATTCATATGTTAAAATATAATAATAATCCCACACCATAAGCTAACACACAGAAATTTTTAAAATTAAGGTATCTTCTTTCATTAACTAAATTGAAGAAAAATGTTATCTTCCATTACATTTGCCACTTTAACTTTTGATTACCTATGTTCTGATTTTCTCTCAACTCCTGAACACTCAGTCGTCATAAACCACTGAATCTCTGCATTCCTATTGCTATTTTCCGACATCAGGCATATGAAGATAATATGAAAATGTCATTTTAGTCTTAATACAAAAATATGTATGTAGTACTGCAACATAACCATGAACCAGACATTTAGACACTTATTCGTCATTACTCACATTAATAAAAACTACATAAATTAGACCTGAAGGTTTTACTAATTCTAATTACTAGGTAAGGCAATTCAACAGCTTCCAAACATCAAAACAAATCTGCAGGAGGTTATGCCTTTTATAACAGAACTTAAAGCACTGATTTAAGTAAGACTAAAAGTGCAATTAATGATAATTCAGCACATAATGTCTTTTATTACAAAACTTAAGACATTGATTTACAATATTTTAAATGAAAAAGGTTAAAAATGTGATTAAATGCTAATTCAGCACATCATAATTGTGTGATCCTCTTTAGCAGATTAATTAGAAAAGAAAACTAAAATTCCACTCGTAGAAAAATAATCGCCTGGCTTAAAGATGCTACAGCAATTTCCCAAAAGATCAAATTGTAACTTTCATACATGTGCTGTTACTTCCCATAGTTCAAAACATTACTGCCTTAATATGCACAAGGGAACTACCCCAAAAGTGACTGCATTATGACGCCAGAGTGCAATTATGCAGTGATTCGGCAAAAAGATAAAAAACTGCCCAGATAATATTTACTGGGGTTGATAAAACTTGATTTATGTATACTCCCTTAAAACATAACAGCAGCGACTACAAAGAAAATCTACCTGTTTGTCACAATCAAAGAAAATTCATCAAATGAAAAACAATACCAATTTGATATCATCAATAAATTGTCTTCTTTGGGATATCAATCTTGGGAATTTTTTCTTGCTAATTACAGTATGACTGCTGAAACCTACTGTAGTACCTTGTGACCCCCCCCCAAAAAGCAGGCATCAGACAAAGAAGATGAATACAGTAGAATCTCTTTTAAGCGGCAGCAATGAGACCTCACCGATTTCAAACACAAGATTTTTTTCAGATAATTGAATATATATTTCCAGAATTCACTTGTTCATATTTTGTGATGTCACACAAAGAAAATAGCATAAATAGAAATTGCAGCATGCGAAGTCCATTGGTCATGTTTTTTAATCTATTGCCCACAAATAAATAAATAAATACTATCAAAAATTGGTACATTTCCATATGCACCTGTCACATATTTTGGCAAGTTTTTTTTTTTTTTTTTTTTTTTTTTTTTTTTTTGTAAATAATTTTTACTTATAAGAATAGTTTACAGATGGCACACACACGCACATAGTAAATTTCCATGCTGTTATTTGAAATTTAAACACATACACAAAGTTCTATATTTTATAAAAATAAAGTTAACATTTAAAAATTGCTTTATTTATGATCATATGACAGCTACAAATTTCTCCATGTGATGGCATATAATTTTGAATGTCTACCTGCTTACATGATTTTTCACCATAGCTTTAAAAATTCACTATGTGTTTGAAGAACCCATCTACTAACATAGATGATAATTAACTAACTGATAACATCTACTGGCATAATAGATATAACATCATCTACTAACATAAATGAACATTTATCAGCAAATCTCGTGAAAGGTCTGCAAATCCTTTATCAGCTTCCTTCCATCTAACTTTTTTGCCCTGATGCTATCTTTATCTTCATCTACACCCTCATCTCTTTCTTTTTTCAGCACATTTCTGATCATAATCATAATCTTGAGAAAATGTGAGGAAACAGAATGATCCAAATTCACTTAAACATGCATCTCCAATTTAATAATACTAACCTTCTGAAAAAGAAGATTTATTAATTTATTAACTTAATCCAAGATATCAACCATGAGCGGCAAACCAATTTAAAATCCAACAGAATTTTCATCACTCAACTAGTCATTTACACCAATAGTAATATAAAGTTCTTCGCATTATTCTAAGCAACAAAATCAATCTGGCATTTTTCAATGTCAATTGTTTTTAAACATCATGGACACTACTTTCAAAGAGTGCAAGTTTGTCTTTATATTCTAGATTAGTGGTCTTAACCCTTTGTTGCATCTTTGTCCACTCTAGTAGACAAAAGTTTAAATTTGTTTATTCTTCTGTAAATGCCTTAACAGATTCCATTCCTGTGTTTATTCATTCTATATTATTAGAACTTTCAACTGTCGATCATAGATGGCTGTATAGCATCACTAAGTAAAGCATTGCTATTTGGAAAATGGCTGCTACTGTTTCCAAGTTAGTAAAATTTCTCATAGTACACATTATATAATATTGCTTACATTTTCTTATACTGCCATTTTTTATTCATACTTAGTAATTTAGGCATTTTATTTTAAATGTCAGTTTGAGAAAATTGTGGAGTGGGTAGATAAAGATCTACCGAAAAGAGTGAATTGAAACCCAAATGCATTGCTTATCAAGCCAAAAAACCACTGGAAATGTTTACGCTTGGCAAGGAATTTCTAGAACATTTGAATCCAATAGGTACAGGTTACAAAATCGTAGCAAAATGAATTCAATCACAATTGACAAAATGAAGGTATTTTGGAGGATCTATGTACATGTCAGTTGTAGACTTACCATTTAGAAGATGGTAATGATCACTGCAAAAGAGGCAGGAAATTATTTCAAATGCAATGACCGTAAATCTTTGGAAACAGATTTGTATGCATATGCATGCTGTCCACTGTAGTGAACAAACTGTAGCAATTATTTAAAACGAAATTTGAATAAAATTATTTTTTTTATTATTACTATGCTTATTTTAAGTAGAAAAAATACAAACATTTTCGTTTAACTTCTCTCTAGATTATTTGTATGCAACAAAGGGTTAACCTTTTTCACTCCACATACCCTTTCCCCACTTCTACCTGATCAACACATCTACTGGCATAGATATAATTTCTTTAAAAACTATTAAAAAATATTTTTATATTTAAATTTAGATTATTTTTAATGTATTTTATAAATTAAACAAGTAAACAATAAAAATGAAAAATAAACAACAGCATGTTGATATATATGCCAAAACTTGAATTAATTTTTTATATTCATAAACTAAATACTTAACAGATTAATAAAAAGCTGACAACATTCCCCTTTGAAACTATAAAATTCTACCAGAGGAGATTTCTCCCTGCTTGAGATCCCCTATTCTAGATAATTCCGACCTACTGCTTGAATAAGGCATGTTAGGCTGGGCACAAAAAAACATACCATAAAAATAATTCGACATTTAAATCCTCAGATCGTTAGCTCATGACATTTTTTTACCTCTTAAGCCTAAATTTCAGATTTTAATTTAGATCTTCAAAAGTGCTGTTATTTTGATATTACCGGTTAAGAGAGATTTACAGTAAATGGATCCTCTATTGAAACAGTGCACTTGCTGCTTGGACCATGCAGCAGTTACCAACATTCAATGCAGTTTATTTTCTTCTGCCATTTTTATTTGCTAGGTTTAGAAACAACAAACTTTCTCTTGAAAAGGGCTAATACTCTGGACAAGATCCAGAAAGAATCATGGATGATTCTGACAATGACAAAATTAATATATGTGTGTAAATGCAGAATATCTGAAGGTTTAATGCATGGTGTCACATTCATTTATGTGTCGAATTGAGTTAAGACTGCTTCTAGCACCTCAGTTTAAAGGAGATGAAGGAAAAAAGAAGTAAAGATAATCTAATAAACACATTTTGAAACATTCTGAATATCTATGATAATCACAGCTACATATTTACTTTCATCCAAATTAAAAATTAAATCATTTATAATAATCTTGAGGTAAAAAATTATCAAATACTGCCAAACAATCAGTTCAATTAGAGATTTTTCCGTTTGTAAACTACATAGCATACGGAAACCTATATCCCAAAAAGCTATTAAACACTAATCAGAGAATTTACATATCATGATTAAAAAAAAAATATTAATGTTAAACTTTGGTAAATTAAAGTGTATAAAAACGTTGCTGTAAAAAAACATACCGTAGCTCCAATCAAGGCACCAGTTTTTTCTTCCACTTGCTTTTGCAATTCAGCTAACACAACATGATGTGATTTCACCATTCGATTGCCCCTCAGAAGAGGGGATGTAGCATTGCTCTCTGTGTAAGAGGACGGCATTGAATCATCTATATAATATTCTGTTGACTGAAAATCTCCAGATACTAACAAAGATTCTGAAGATTTTAAACGTTCTTGAATAGGAGATATTGCATCACCATCACTGCGGGCCTTGGAAATTTTAGGCTGATGCTTATCACGACTTTTATTTACAGCTATCACATCTGAAGAACTAGTAGGACGGGGACCAGATACACTTCTTTTACTATCAATTAACTGAGTACAAATATCAACTGGAGAAGTTCCATAGCGTTCAACAGTTTCAAACTCTTCACCATCAGATTCACCAGCCACTGTGCCATCTTCTGGAAATTCACTCTTACCAAAAGTACCACTTAATAGTCCTGAGTGTTGAGAGGATGTTTTTGTGCGCTTTAAATTCACTTCCATTTCAGAGCTAGGTAAGAGAGGGTCTTCAAAAGGACTTGAAGTAAGGCTAAAAACTTCGTTGGGTAAGCTGGCATATTCACTTGGAAGGCTACTATAATCACCGGCAGGTGCTGCCAATTTATGAGGATATATTTCATCTTTCTTTTGATGAGATTTGTCCCCTAAACTGGAAGAATCACCTACAACTCGTGATAAAGGAATGTTACTGCTGAATGCAGAGTCCGTCTCAGCTTGTGAGATGCATGGCATAGGTTCTGGAGGCGACACTTCACAGAAGTGAGAGAGCTCTGGAAACTGCAAAGTTAACCATTCTAAATCCTCCTTGACAATATTTGGCAAATTTTGGTCAAAAGGTTGAGGACATTCAATCTGGAAAAAATACTTAAAATAACTACTCTATATGGTAATTTTTTTTTTTTTTAAAGAAAAAGAAGAAGAATGTAAGAATTTTAGTTATTTCCTAAAGCTTTTTAGTAGTTTCAAAACCAAATATTACTTTTAAATAACAATTTTAAATATGGCAGAGGGAAAAAAATCTTTTCATGGCTATCAACTAATGAAATGAATATATATTTAATAAAAAAAAAGAAGCTAATGTTTGCAGATCATTTTACAAGCATTTATTTTACAATACTTATAAATTCACACACTGAAATGCAAGCATATGTTTAAACATTTCAATAACACCTTCACTGAAATACAAGGCAAATGCAAAATGATTTACTTAAAACACCCTGAATGAGTTTTGCATTGGGAATGCACTCTTTTGGTATATCTAATACAATGATCAAGTATCACCTGTTATCAATAATATTTGAGCTGCCATACCATTTGTATCCTTGATATGTAATAAGGAAATGTTTGCCAGTAATAGAATGTACATTAACTAAAACCTATTTGACTATCAGTAGATAGATAGATAGATAAGATCTAGAACAGATATCAGTATTTTAAAACAATATATATGTTAACTACAACTATCCTAAGACACTACGAGTGGATTAACAATAAGCAGCCATTTGACAGAAGGCTCACATTACGCAACCATGTGTAGCTGGTCCTAGAAATGCTTGTATTACCAGGAGCAATACAACCACAAAACCTATGATGATAATCAGGCATCTCAGATTTTCTTGATACTGAACAGCATCAACAACAGACCCCTTGAAGGATTTACAAAAATTAGCTACTGTGTTGACTGCTACTTCCACCAGAACCTCAATGATAGCAGGATTCATGTATAGTGTAAACAAAATCTAAATGTGTACCCCGGTTATGCAGCTGAAGTTCAAAAGGTGGCTGGAGATAATGTTCTGGTAATAGAAGCCTTATCCTGGTAACCTGGGTCTCTTGATTACCATTCTATAAATACTGCAATTATTGAATGTCAAAAGCTGAGGACCTAACAGTTAGCCACTTTCCTTTGTATATGTATGAAGTTTAACCAGACTAGGGCATCCTATTTCAAAAGCAGAATTCAAATAATCATTGAGTTTCCTACAGTCATTGAGTGTCCTGATTTAATACAAATAAAATATCAAAGCAACCCAAGAAGCGAGTGTAAAGCTTAAAAGAAATATCAAGACCCCACCCTGATAATATATTTTACTGTTGCAATCAAGGTTCAAGACTGGCTTTTAACATGGACCGACAGATTATTCCCCGCTCCAAGTTGAAGCAAAAAAAAAAATGCATTTTGAGTGGAAAGGTGGTTTTAAATCTTCTTTAAAAGTGTGCGATGTAATTATCTTCATTTTGATATATTTCTTCTGTTTATACATATCTATGTTCCTGTTATAAAACAGAAAAACTTTTATGCTGTTATCATTATATTAAAAAACACAAATTAATAAAGTTTAATTTATTTAAATATGTTTTTATACATTTTTTGTTCATCAGTCTTAGGCAGTGGCAGCTGGTCATCTGAATCAAGTGAATCACTGATTCATTTAGAGTTTTTTTTATATATGCATTTTCTTATATATAGTAAACACTCAGCAAATTTGAACTAATGTGGTCACTACTGCATATTTCTCTCCTAAATGAGAAATTCAAAAATTTCTTTCAATGGTCAAATCTCAGCAAATCTAAAAGTTTTCAATAAAACTAATGCAATTGAGTAATTTAATTATTTTGGAGATCATGAGTTGTCACTGATTTGTATGGTCCAGAATATCTCGTCTTCTTCCAGTGTAGCTCATGGAAGCCAAAAGGTTGGACACTTCTGGTTTAGAGAAAAATAACAATGAATTTCCCATATTACCACAGCTTCCAATCTCCAGACTGTAGAGTAATTAAATATTTATGAAATAATTTAGAATGAATTCTGACAGTAGCTGATCAGCCTTCATGAAATAAACATGAATTTACAGTACAGCGGAAGACAAAAATAAGAGAATCTTAGTTTCCCAACATTACAAACTGTTTTTCATAAGTTGTTACAATCAACTAACTTTCATAATCTGTTCCTAGGCATATGTGATTCATGACTGCATGCAAAGATTGACCAATGAAACTGTCATTAAAATTCTTAATAACAATATGCTTGGAAGACTTGAGGCAGGACAACCTGTTAAAAAAGTCATTACTTTCTTTTCTATGGACCATTCTGTCATATTTTGATGAAACAATTTCAAATGCATGAGATAATTATAACGAAATCCATCCAAGGATATAGCTCTAAGGTGGCAATAGGCCTCACATCACTAGCTATTTAAAATGTTGAGCATTACACAGAAATTTGAAATTTCTGACACATAAATCCATTGTGTTTCATTATTTGGTTAAAAATTCTAATGCAATTATCAGTAACACTTTTTTTTTTTACCTCGAAAGCTAGTGTCTGGGACATTTCCACTTATTAATGGGACATGAAAGACAAAATGTGTAAAATTTACATTTTTTTAGTAATCCTATCTAAGAAAACATATCTGAGCTTGAAACAGGAAAATTATTCACCAACTGCAAGTCCCCCATCCTATACACCATGTTTAAAATATTTTTAAGGAGCTATGTTAGGTTGTACAAAATATAGAAGAGTTCTACAACCAAATTTAATAAGAGAAACTAATGGAAAATTCAGAATACCATTTCCTGCTGATTCATACCTGTTTCTAGTTTTTCAAGCATATTTCACATAATGTTGAACTCTATAGTACTACAAGCATGATAAAGTAATGCCTTGCAAAACTTCTTTGCATGCTCATAAATCATTTCTTCAAAGCTTTCCCCAGAGCGACTCTTTTTTGGGGGAAAGGGGGTTTATGGGGGGGAAACAGGATTATGAGAGCTAATAGGATGATTAGAAAGGTTCCTAAAATCATAGATAAAATGTGTATCTAAAGCTACCATTTCTTTAGATTATGAACAATAAACAGCTCCTGGGAAGCTCAGTGATAATAGTAATAATAATAATAATAAATCATACTACATGCAACAAACAAAATATGCTGAATAAGCATTGCATAATTATAATTAAGTACTAATAAATATACTCAATTCAATAAAAATATTAACAGTAAAATTTGCAGTTTAAGCAAAATGCTTATGAAGAATAATAAAAATAGCAAGTGCCTGTTCAGAAACATATTTGAACTTAAAATATCAAATGACAAGGAAAAAATAATTAAATTTGAGAAAAAATAAATTGTTTAAAATTAGCAAGCAAGAGTCTACAAAAATCACTTATTAATTTTTTCTCCTCTGATGTTTTCTGGCTGCTGATCCACATTATCAGAATGAAGTACAGGCTTTTATTAAAAAATAACTGAAACAATTCAGAAATAATTCTTAATGGCAAATAAGGGGAAAAAGTAATCAAGTGACATACAGCAAATGGTGGAGGCAGATCATCCATTCCAGGAAACAAATTGTCTACCATGTTTTTTGACTCTTCACTGTTAAAGCTCTTTCGCAAGGAAACTTCTTTATCATAGGTTTTGAAAGCTTCAGCTGATAGCTCAGTTGCCCACTAATGAAATCAAAATAAACATAAGATCATAGATAAAGTTGAATAAACTACTGGTACTATATAAAACTGACATTTAAATACATAAAATATTACATTAATTTATAACATGAACAAATGTTTAGTAATAAACATGTACAATTATTTATTGTCTTTTATGAGAAATGAAATGAAAAATCCAATAAATAGATGTTGAACATTTAAAAATACTGTAGTACCTAAATACATCTCACGCCTCCCCCAACACACAAAGAAATGGAAAATGTAGATAAGATACATTTCAGGCAAAGGTTATTATTGTCCCCATTCTGATCATAATAACTTCAAGGATACATTATATTCATTGGTTATTCTTTAGATAAATTTAAAATAATTTGAGGTACTGATATTCTGAACTAAATAAATAATTATTGGAGATAATAAGGCAACAAGAATCAGCGTAATATTCATACATCTGCATTTCCAATAATCATTATATGGTGTGTTAACTCAAATTTAAATAATTTTTTTAATAATAATAATTTTAAATCAATAATATAAATAAATAATACATAAAATAAATAAATAATAATTTAAATAATAAATAATAATAATAATGCATAACTACAACATATGTGCACACTTTTTTATAATCTAGTTTCTAAATATCATTTTATTGGCCTTTCCAGAATAAAAGAAATGTTGATCCAGCCTAAATCTAATTCTGTAAAATACAAATCAGTCAAAAAAAATTATTTTACTTGGAATTGACATCACTTTTAATGAGTTTACCTCCTCAAATTAAGCACATTTTCACCAAGCTGGTCTTAAAACACGTTAGACTAATCAGTATTAATGGCTACTCAGATTTGTTGATGGTCATTCATTCAAAAGGCACTTGATAATATTCCTTTATGAAAAAACATATATCTAACCATAGCATTATAAGTAATTCCCTTTGCAAAAATTACTTTTGCACCTGATTTATCAAAAGATTAAAAGATACAATTGTCTATAAAAAACCAAATTCCGCAAATGAATAATAACAATATATAAATTTAATTCTTGTTAACTTAAGTTATTAATTCCTGAAAGCTAAATGAAATTTCTCAGTAACAAAACTTGAAAACATGCTACATACAATTTGGTACAAAAATCGTATAACACATGCCTATTTTGTAATTTGAATCCATTAAAAAGAATGGGAAAAATCATTCTACACAATACATAGCACATCATTAAAGGAAAATTTTGCAAAATACTTAGTACACATTTTAAAAATCAAAACCTCATGATTTTTTTAAAAGTTATACTCAAGGGAAATATGCAGAAATGCAAGTACCCATAAGTTTTTTGCATTGTGCTGCATACCAGCACAAATATTTTACACAAAAAGTACTGTAGCAAAAATTGAGACTAAGCAGATCAACACCTCCTAACATCATAAAAAGTGCACACACTGAAGCATATCAGCACTGCTTATTATATGAACTGTTCTTTCAGCAATAATATACTACAAATCAAATAGCTAACTACATGTTAATACACATTTTATATTTGCAATAAGATCAAAAAACTATACACATTCTGCATTGGAGTAATTAACCATTCTTACTAAGCATATGCACATGAAACATTCAAAAGTAATGAAATATAAAGAAACATTTTAGATAATAAATTTTAAACTTAATACCTAGAAATACAAATTAAAAATAACATATGTCTACAACTTAATGGTTTGGTCTTAAAAATATTGTACTTGTATATTAACCAGATATGCAATACTTACAACAAACTAAATAGCCACCAACCCAATGAAAAATGACTTTCATACTCAGTGGCGCTCATCTGCTCGCAGTAATTATGCGTCTCAGATTGATCCTCCTTTTTTGCTGGCCAAGGTTGATGATGTAATTCGTAATTTAAGGCTTGGCAGGGCTCCTTGCAGGGATTTCTATTCCCAATGAAACTATAAGATACTTCGATGCACTTCTGCGTCTTAGCAACATTGTACAGAGGGGCAAGACGAGAGGTTTGTACACTATTTTAATTTTTCTTGATATTGAAGGAGCTTTCGATAATGCATGGTGGCCTGCTATTCTTAATTTACTAAAAGAAATGAAAATACCTCATAATGTGTTTAATGTTGTTTCTGATTTGCTGAAAGACAGGACGGTCGAACTTTTTTGGGTGGCACCTCAAGTGTTCATCGACCTCAGAGAGGATGTCCACAAGGCTCTGTTTCTGGTCCCAAGCTTTGGAATATTATTATGAATGATCTCTTCAGTTGTGAAGTCATTGCCTTTACAGATGATTTGTTGATTTGTATTCAAGGAAAAGAAATGCAAAAAGCTTTTCATCTTGCCCAAGATGTTTTAGATTTCATTTATCATTGGTCAATAAATTTTAAGTTAAACTTTAACCATGCAAAATACAAGACCACGTTTATTGATAGAAAAAATACTACTTATGAAGGATATCAATTAATTTTGAATGACAATCCCCTTGAGAGGGTGAATGAAACTAAATATTTAGGTGTTTTGTTGGACAGCAAATTAAACTGGAAAAAGCACATTTCCTAATAAATGTGAGAGACTTCAGCGTGGGCTGAATCGCATTGCATGTTATAGTTTTGGTGTTAAATCGAATGTTAGCGCAATTATTTATAAACAAGGCATTGTACCCTTATTCATATGATGTAGACTTGGAGATTGTCTCTAAAAAAGAAAATGAACTCTAACGTCTGCTTCGAGTTCAAGATGAATTTGCTTGCGAGTTTATAGGGGTTACCAAACTATTAGTTACAATGCTGTTTTTCTCTTGCCGGATTTCTAACCTTTTTATTTTGGATTTTTTGACCTTTATAATTACAAATAGTCTTTGAAAACTACTCCAATTCTCATTTTGATCGTTTTTTTGCCCCTATCTGTCGTCCACACCTTCTGTAAGACAACCAGTACAGATTCAGGATATATGGACATTAAATTCATTCTCATTTGTGTTGTATACAGATGGTATAGATTGATGATAAAGTTGTTTTGCTTATGTTATTTTTTGAAATGATATTGAATTGAGTGTCACCAATTTCGCATTAGAAATGAATGTACTGTATATATTTCTGAGCTTCTGTGTATTAATTTTGCAATTAGTGGATAATTAGCCATAATGGACGTGGTTCCAGCTACTAATCTGTACAGATTCACTCTCTTCCCTGGAATCCCTTAAAAATACCTCTTTATGTAATGATATTATTGTTAATAAATAGTAGTCTCTAAGAGATATCGAGAAGGGTATTTCAGTGTTTTTTACATTTGTCCGTGGTCGTTCGGGTAATTATGGAAACGAGAGAGCTGATTGGCTTGCTAAAAATGATATTAATGTTGATGTAAATATTCCAAAATCTTATTTTAAAAAAACATTCAAAGCTGAAATGATTGAACTGTGACTATATCTCTTCTGATGTGGGATCTGTTACAAAAACATTCTTCCCAACTATTTTTGAAAGACTGAAAAGTAAGGACTTGTTGCTCAATTTTAAAGTTACGCAATTTTTGTCTGGACATGGTAAGTTTAATGTTATCTTGAACGATTAAGCTGACATCTTCCAATTTGTGTTATGGCAATCTTAGCGTTCAGCAAAGTGTTTTCCACCTACTTTTGACTGCCCATTGCTTGAATAAAGCAAGAAATCTATTGAAATGTAGATTAAAATTAGTTGGAATTCATTGGCCGCCGAAATGTTATGATTTTGTATCTTCAGCTTCGTCCTACCGAGCTTTCAACGATTTTGTTGACTTTTATTTTAAACATTGTAAATTATTTCTTTATACATTTTTATACTTTTGTATTTACTTGTCTTTTTTTATCTTTGTGTATGATTTCACTGTATTGTTGAAAGCTGATGATATTACTTACAATTTTGCCTTTCTTACTTTGATTGTGTGTGATACTTCGTGGTGCACGAGGATCTCTTTTTCTTTAAATATATATAATTTTTTTTTTTTTTAAATGAAATAAATTTTTTAAAAAGATCAAGTTTATTATGAATTGGAAACAAGAAATAGTTTTATATTACCTTATTTGATACAAAGGCAGAAATAAAACTATTTAAGGTACTTAATTTATAAAATAAAGGAGCATTACGAAATAATTTTGCACCTGGCTAATATGTATATGTCAAAAATATATATATTTCAATTACTTCGCAGGTAATGGAATTATAATTTTTACACTGATCTCAGCAACACTTATCAATAGAATTGTTCTTAAAAACAACTTTATCATTTAAAATTACTTAACTGATACAATGGTTTATAAAATTGAATAACAGACACAAATAGCATATCTAACAAATGCTTAGATCCAGCTAACTCTATTATGTCACAGGTGAGGTCAGTGAGACGTATTTGTAGTAATAAATATCACTTTTTCACAATACTAAATTTTAACTTATGATCAGCATACTGCCAATTGAAGAGCAATTCTCATGCTCATTAGGGTTAAAGCCTGGACACATAGCATCATTTTCAAAGCAATCCTGGACCAGATAAACTCAGACTGCTTAGCATTAACATCTACAAAAATTCAGAATTTGAAGAATTTCAGCAGAAGCCCAACAAGAGTATATCCCTAGAATGATGTAGTAATTAATCCGTCATAGATAACAGAACAAAGAGCAAAGCTATCTCATATTAAATTGACGACTTCACTAACTTTGATTCCTTTACAATGGTGGTGACTGACTACTTCTGTTAAGATAAAGCACATCAAATATAAACGTGCACAGATTATCTGAATTTGTTTAGAAAATGATCACGGCTCTTTCCAAATGCGCAGGATAAAAAAAGGGGGGGAATGCCGCGGCGCGCAATGAATTGGAAGTTGATCTGTCAGCACTATCCTTATCTTCAGGGCAGATGTTTTTATTTTATTTGGTTTATAATTCTTTACTAAATGTAGTATTTCATCTCGATGTACTCTGTTTTTGATATGATTTAAATTAAATTCCTCGTCATTATAATTCGCTTCCGATAGTGAAGAAAGTGACACAGAGGTTATTGAAAATGAAAATATTTCGACTGACAAATTAGTCGGTATTCTCAACACAACAATTATAGGACTTGAACAGCGGAACTTTGTAACTGAACAAGAAATTATGTCTGTTTATAGAATTAAAGAGAAAGTATTATCATATAAAATGAAGCAACTTAAACAACTTACATTGAAAGAATGTTTAATAAGTAAACAAATAAATATTAAGCTTTTTTTTTTTTTTTTTTTTTTTTTTTTTTTTTTTTTGTTTTTTTTTTTTTGTAAATTTGTAAATTTTGTAAATACATTTTTGAAATTTGATCATAATTGTTCTTTATTTCATAATTACTGTTTCATATTTTTCAATTTTTAATTTTTATAATTTCTGCATGCCATCTTACTTGATTTAAATTGATGATTTATAATCCGGAAAAATCGATAATCCGGAATCGCCGAAGTCCTGACGAGTCCGGATTAACAACTTTTGACTGTATAGCACAAAATCTGAGATCCAGAATCACTGGGACTTTACTGATTCTGGATTTTGGAAATTTCTCCATTTTAGATCAGGAAGATGACATGAAGACATGGCAACATTGGGGCTTTATTTATCATTTAAGTCAGATAGAAGAATCTAGCCCCACCCAACAAGGCCAGCACCAGAGCTGATCCAGCCATACTATGAGGCAAATGTTTTAAAATTTAGAAGAGCACCAAACAGCAAAAATTAGGAAAGACAAATTTTTTAGAATTTAGGAGCAGCAAAATTTTTAGAATTTGGTAGATGATGGGTAGCACAATTTAAGACCCACAAAGACTGCAGTGGGTGAGGAAAATGCAATGAATGCCCCAGCCCTATTCCCCTTCTAACCACTCAATCCCCCAAAAGTGTAATCTCACCAACATCAACACAATATTAATCAATATACTACTAGAGTGCAACTATAACAGTGTTTGAAAGTGACATGCACAAATCTTAGTCAGAATCACAGAAAAAATGCATTTGGGGTACATCTGCTTCCTTCAGCTGAGTTTTACATTCTGCAATACTAGATTTTCTGAGGGATTTCTTATTATTATTTTAATTATTTATTTATTTTCGGCTAGCAATCTGAAGGTATGGATATTAAATCATTCCAGATCTTAAACTTTGTACTTAGTTAAACTAACTCCATTGTAAATACATATGCAAAATTTTTGGTTCATTCTGGATATTAGACCGATAGTCTAGCATCATACATACTGTTTGATTAAGTAAAACATAAATACATTTCTCTGTTTATCCTTCATATATACCATTTAATAATTTACCATTTAAATCACTTTAGATAGAGAGAGTATCTTTTATGAAATTGGTGTTTTCTACACTACAAAATGATATATTTGTAGCATATAAAAATTTAACTAATTAATGACCTATTTTAGATTTTTGAGAAGATAGCTTTAGAAAATATTTCTTGGACCATGCATTATGCGTTTTGACTTAGAACACTTATCACACTTGCTAATCGACACTGAAAAACCAGATTTTCTTTTTAAGAAATAATAAATATACACAGAAAGAAAATATATTTCTTAATAACCAATTAACTTTAAATAATAAAAAATTAATACCTGAAAGTTCAGTTACTAATAATAGACTAATGCAAATAATAAAAAATACTTAAATGTTAATTTTTTATTAATATTATTTATACCTTTTAATAAAAAAATACTTTAATCAGCTTCATTAATCATTAAATAACTTTCACCAGATCAATAATAATTGATAGCAAAACACGAATTAATGGAATTCTGCATGTAGAATTGTGTTAAGAACATCGAATGATAGCAAATTGGAGCGTATGAAAAAACAAAGAGCTTTGTTACAGTCTAAAGGCAAAAACACAAATATTTGTTCTTCACAAGATAAACTTAATAAAAAAAAGTGTCTCCTGTTGAGCAATCTTTTTATTTTGGGAAAGCTTTACACCTATATTTTGTAGCATTATTTTGAGAATTGCCAATTAAATTCCTCACAAGTGCTGAAATTACGATATTTTCCACACCTATTGTAAACAGTGGAAGTAGTAACTGAATCTTCACTTACTTTTTAAAGTACTTTATAACTTTCAAGAGAGCCTTTTATCTTGACTATAGAAACATTTACTCCTTTCTTAAAAAATGAAAGAAGTGGCTGGTCGAGGATTCTAGATCAACATTTCTCTAAACATAACCAGCATGTGCCCACGTTTCAAAATTTTATTATTTGAGCATTATACAGTCGTTGGATTTGTTTTAATTTTCCTTTTCATTTTGAATTAAGATAATAATAAATATCAACAATGTGTGCCACCACACTTATTAGTAAAGAAACTGCCTTTTTTTTTTTTTTTTTTTTTTTTTTTTTTTTTTTTTTCATTTGCTAAATTTAAGAGGCAACAGTTGCACTTCATAATTTGCAAAATCTGAATTTTCTTTCTTTAAGCTGCCTGCAACATCAGTCTTCAAGCCTACCATTCCCGGCGCACTGTCGGCACTAAATAGTAAGCAATTATCCAAAAGAACTGGGTAAAGTAAACTACACTAAATTTCTGAAGACTAAAAAGAAACAACAATTGTACAGTTTTGCATCGGTATTATTGCTTCCATCCATTGAGAGGCAGAATGAAACTGTTTTAATGCTATCAGTAACTAAAGATTTATTTTTCATACACATTTCTTCAAAAATTGCAGCCCCTTTTTATCCTTGCACTTGAGTATTTCTTAGCGATTTCATGACCAAAAATTATTTTTCTAAATAAAGCTACAGTATGATCCAATACATTCAGTGGCAGGTTGTGCTCAGGTAAAAAGACAGAGAACAGGCATTCTACATTAATAACTTTTTGGTCCTTTGTTTCCACAGAAAAAAAAAAAAAAAAAAATTCTTTCCAATACAACTCATTTTGTACTTCTGTACACACAACTTTAAAAATATCGGCCCTTTCACTGTGCAAAATTGAAAAATCGCAATAAGAAACAGTACACATCACAAATGTCTTACATTTTCTGTGCGAAATATAGAAGAAAAATCATGTGTGTAGAATTTTTGAGAAGTACATGACTATTTTACCTTTTTCACAGACATAACTAAGACAAAAATTGCAATTTCTTAAACTGCTTCTCTGAAAGCACATGAAAATCACAGCAGTCACTAGCGAGATGAACGAAATAACAACCTCAATCTTGCTTTGTGCTCATTGGCTAATATATGCCAGTTCACCTTCAGCAGAGCTTAATGCTCATTGGAAAACTTAAAGAGAATGTTTTTGGACTCTCACAAAGCAGAAGCATGCCATATCTCACTGATGAAATAACTTTGGTTTTCTTTCATACATAATCTAAAGAAAACCAAGTGCTTTCAGATGGCAAAAATCACTTTTTTTTATTTCGAATATTAAGTACATAAAAGCTCCAAAAAATTCATGAGAAATTTTAAGAATATGAGAAGGTCAGGTTGGAAGGAGTAAGGTAATAAATGAGAAGAGTTGGCAACTCTGACATATCATCAGATTTACATCTGATATTAGACAGGCACACAAGTAATGCATTTTCATTCCCCCCCCAAAAAAAAGCTTCTATTTTGTTGTCAGTAACTAAAATCTCTTAAAAAATATTATCTTAACCTTTTATTTTAATATATCATTAAAAAATTGCTGATAAAAACACACATTGCTATTGCATCCAGGAATAATGTTCATGTTATCGTGAAAGATATCCTGTGAAATGAGGAGAACGGATACAAAGTATTTGCAGCCAAGCATATAGCTTTCTTTCTTTATTGAAAATTTGCAGTTTGTTTCTGATACCACCATTCCACCTACAGCTAAGCTCAAAGTAATGCTGACTGCCTGTCATCTGCTTACAGCAAGGTACACCTATGCCACTTTAATTTTGACAAGAAGCTATTACTCTTAGGCAACTTTGGCTTGCTTCTTTAGCAATATTACCAGCATTGGCTAATTGTTTTAGCAATGTTAACTAATTTGTTAGAGCTGTTTCCCTGATATGCATTTTACTTTTTATTAATATGCATGTTACAGCGACTTAAGTGCTGTTCAACAAACATATTACTTGACCTGTAGCTAATCCAAGATTGGTAATTTCAGCTACATTGCATGCGAAAAATAATCTTATCACACTCTCATTTCTCTGATGATAATCACCACTTGATATTAAAAATGTACTGGTAAAAAATATCATTTCTTTTTCTCCTTAACAAACTGCTAGCTTCCATCATTTTTATATCAAATGAATTTGAGTGTTTACAAATTGTCATTCAGAACTGCATGTACTTTTAAAATTTCTGCCCCCAACAGATATTTCAGCTTTTTATTTTAAAATGAATTGTTAGTTTTGAACATCAGTGTACTTAATGATTAATTATATTTATTTAAAAATAAAATTTATAGGCATAAATACATTATGTGTAGCTTTCTAAAGGCATATATCATTAACCAGTAATATAAAACATTAACAAATAATTCGTAAATCAAATTAAACATAAGCATAAGTAACTTAAATCCAGAAATGAGGAAACAATTCAGACCTTCATATAATTTGCAGAAAACGCTTTTCTTCGGCAGACTTCTGCCAGAGATTTGAGATACCTTTCTGGAGCTAGATGTACTTGACGGAAACTCTCTATTTGCTTGACAAAAGATTCAACATGTTTTTGGAGAAATATGTACTTTACTTGCAGGTCATACATTTCACTCTCGACTCGGCAAATGTAACTAAAAAAAAAAAAAAATCCACAAATTGAGAAGATAATAGACATGTTTCACTTGGATAAGACAGAGGCTGTATAAATAATGCATACACCATATTGTTTTAGATTGTACAAATAATGGGTATACCACAGAAGGCTTTTGTGAAAGTTTGTAAAATCTGGTTCAAGCTGAAAGCAAAATGACCAATTTAAAATATTTTCAAAGAGAATAAATACTGGGTGCCTAGATAACTGATGCACCTGTAACAGCAGTCAAAGTTACAGGGAATACTATCAAGAGTGTTAGTTGGATAGCATCATTCTATAGTGCATAAGGGCAACAATGAATGTTTTTAGGTCTGCTAATACAGAATAAAGGAGGGTGACACCTCACCACTATACTGTAGGCACTGGCCTGTATCGTATGATAGTACAACAAAATTCAGCTGTTAATTTGCATTTTATCTGGAATAAGGCAAATTCTACTGAAATATCAGCAATACATGAGCTTTCTTATGATTTTATATGATTTTTGGAAAGAACTGCCATAACAGAAATAACTTCAACTTGCATTTAAGGCAAAAAGTACTATGCAGCTAGTATCAGAATATGTGCTTCTGAGCTGCTGAATTGCATTTACAATTACCTGAGGTTATTTCATATTCAAAATCACATTTTTTTCAGCTATGCACAACACTGGAAATACAACAGCTTTTGACTGAACTACAATGTAAAAACAAACCTTAAGATGTATGTGAAAAGAGCATAGAAATTCAAAAAAATAAAAACTACAATTCTCAGAAAAACCTCACTTAAGAAGCACTTACAAAAGAAGGGGGGAACTTCTGGATAAATGGATAAAGGCATATCTGTCTCAAAATTATGTGATAAGTATGGCAACGGACAGTCAACTGTATATGACATAAGAAAAAAGAACGTTTTGAATTTTTGATGGATTCCGACATCCCACTCGTAATGAATAACAGAAAAATTGTTCGTTATACTAAACGTGCCAAACATGACAAAGTGATGATTGAATGGGTCAGACAGCATCACAGCGAGGGTGTGTCATTGACGGGTCCAATGGTAATGGCTCAAGTCAAAATATTTCAGGAAGTGATCTTAAAAACTGAGTGCACATATTCGACAGATTGGTTAACCAAATTTAAAAATCGCCATGGTATAAGGCAATTAAAAATTTCAGGCGAGAAAGCTTCAGCTGATACTGAACTACTTGCAGATGAATTCAATGAACTTCTTACTAGTGAAAAATTATCGACAGAACAAATTTACAACACTGATGAAACTGGTCTTTTCTGGCAATATGTACTGCAAAATACCTTGGCAATCTCTACAGAAAAGGCTCCAACTAGTGTCAAAGATACCAAAGTGAGACTAGCAATTTTAGCATGCACAAATGTTGCAGGAAAACAGATTCGCAAACCTTTCTTAATCGTAACAAATACACAACCTCGAGCATTTAAAGGAGTAACGATTTTCCCTGTTATATTTTATGAAATTAAAACAGCATGGATGACTTGCGCATTAATGAATGATTGGTTTGAAAATCATTTTATACCCAAGGCTCGGCAACATTTGAATTTCGTTGGTTTACCTGATGATGAAAAAATTGTCCTGGTTGTAGACAACTGTTTGGCTGATACTTCGCTTAAAGTTTTAGTGAAAGATATGTAGCCGTGTTATTCTTTCCTCCAAATTGTACGTTCATCATTCAGCCTACAGATATTGGAATAGTGCGAGCGCGGAAATGCAGATATAAAGTAGCATTTTTTTAAATCCCATGTTAAATTTCTTGAACAATGGCAAGGCTATTCAAGAATTTTTGAAATGTTTTAGAATAAAATCTGTTGTGTGAAGCATAGTAAGATCGTGGGAGGACGTGTCTCCGCATGCTTGGCATAATTTATGGTCAGCTACCATATTTCATGGAGAAGATGACAAAAACAATAGACCGGAATCTGAAAGTTTTCAGATATCGCACACCAAAGGTGAAATTTTCCAATTAATGGATTTTGTAAAGAAATGTGGAGAGGCGATAATAAATGAGGATGATGTAACACAAGTTTTTCATTGCGATGACAATGCCCCAATCATCAATCAATTAACGGACGGCAAAATTTGTAATATGATTCTATATCCAGAAAATAGCGCTATCGACAGTGAAGACAGCGACACAAAGGTTATTGAAAATGAAAGAATTTCAATTGAAAAGTTAGCTGAATTCTCGGCACAGCAATTACAGGACTTGAACAATGGAACTTAATAACTGAAAAGAAATCATGCCTGTCTGCAGAATTAAAGAGAAAATATTAGCACAAAAAATGAAGCATCTTAAATAACTTACATTGAAAGAAATGTTTAATAAAGTAAACAAACAAGCATTAAGCTTCTTTTTTTATGTGTGTGTGTGTGTGTAAATTATGATACCCTTTAGATCCTAAATGTTCATTATTTCATACATCACAGTTTCATATTTTTAATTTTATAATTTCTTGTCATATTACTAGATTTAAACTGATGATCTAATATCTGAAAAAATCCCAAATCCTGAATGACAGAAGTCCCGACGAGTCTGGATCTCAGACTTTGTACTGCATTCCAACGGCTCTTTCAACAAAAAATGGAGAAACCGAAATTAGACTTTTATTCCGTTTTGTATTAGCTGTGAAATGCTTGGCACCAGAGCGGAATCTTGGCTAAAGGCGCATGCGCCGCCGAAATTGGTACTGAAATGTATTCTGTGAAAAACTTGATTTTTGTGGTACATTGGAAGTTGCGCTTTAAGGTGAAACCTAGCGCCAGAGAGTCGCTATGGAAAATAAATGTATTGAAACTGTGTAATGTGTGTGGTGTTATTTTATTATGATATATAGCTATCGACGGGAAATAGAATAAGTCAATTCAAGTATTGTGGTCCGTCAAGCCGGAGCAGCTAATGAAGTTTATGAGACTGTGAATTTACTTTCGATTTTGTGAAACGAAGAATTACAAAGGATACTTCCAGATTGAAGTTCTGTAGAAACAAAAGGGTAAGTACCCTCCTCCTCTTTGAAGCTCATTGTACTTTTTTGAAGCTCTTTATTTGTTTATTGACTTTTGCTAATTAAAATGTCACTGAAGGAGATATTAGCGAAAAAACGTACATTGAAAATACAGTTAACAAAGTTAAAGCAAAATATTGCGGATGAAAATGTCCAAGAAGTGACATTTTTGGAAGTACTAAAGAATAAATTTAAAGTTGCTTGAGACAGATATAAACTCTAATTTCGATTCTTGGTTCGGGTTATGTACGGAAGAAAGTATTGATGCTTATGTAAAAGAGAAAGAAGAGATTGACGATATTCTCTTAGATGTAGAAGTCGAATTAAATCGTAAATTAGCTAAACTTTCCAAAGAAATTAAATCCAAAGAAATAAAATCCACGAATACTGAGAACAATGTTAAATTACCCAAAATTAATTTGCCAATGATTTCGGGTAACTTACATGAGTGGCTTTCATTTAAAGATATCTTTTTAGCCAGTGTTGATTCAAATCCTAATTTAACAGATGCAGTCAAATTACAGTACTTAAAAATCTTCTCTAAGAGGAGATGCTTATCATATTGTGCATGTTCGAACTAAAGTTCCGTAAAGGAATAAACTGATGTTTGCTTTTACCGCGGCGGGGGGAAAATATTGTTAGAACACACAGGAACGAGGATGTGCTAACATGTATAGATCCGGCACTATGCCGCATATGATATTTCATATTTGTTTCAATCATGTTGTTATTGTTTTCAATAAATAATCAAAAGACAACTACTGTGAATTAAATCACTCAACACTTCAGAACGAAGATATCACAAATATGTTGGTGAACGCCGGACGTGATTTCAACCTTCTGATGGAATGTGAACCTTTCTTTGTTTTGGAAGTTTCTGATTCGCGACCATGGAATTGAGGTAGGTCCCTTTAGATTCAGTTCTTGAAGTGTTATGATTTTGTATGTGATAGGAAGTTTTGAATTTATAGTGGTGATTTGATTATTTAGTTGATGTAATTGAAATTTAGTTTTGAGAACAGAAGTAGTTTATGTAAACATGGTGAAACGAGTTAAAAGGTTAAGGCAGAAACGAAACTGCATTAGGCAGCTCTTTTGGCAAAAATTGAAGACGCAATAAATAAACCTTTAAGTGAAAATTACAGTAAAGAACACAAAAACTTGATGTTCTTTATGATCAAAGAAATCAGTTGATTGAAAAGATAAAGAATCTTAATCGTTTAGATAGTGAAATAGAAACAATAATTGGTATAGATGAGTTAGAAAATGAAATTGCTGAGAGTGAAGAATATCATGGAAAACGAAACTAGATAGGCATGTAGAAAGTGCTTTTAACGGGGCTTCGCAAAATGAAATTCGGGTTAATTAAAATGTTAGGTTGGAACAATGCGTAGTAAGAAACGAAAGTAGTGTAGTTAAGCTTCCGAAATTAAGTATTGAGAAGTTTTATGGTGATTGTAGCTCATGGTGGATTTCTGGAATTCCTACGAAGTAGCTATTCATAATAACAATTCCTTAAGTAAGGTTGAGAAGTTTTCGTATCTGAAAACATTTTTGGGAGGTACTGCCTTATCAGCAGTTTCGGGATTTTCGTTAAGAAACGAAAATTATGATTCCCCAATTAAGTTGTTAAAAGAAAGATTCGGAAGGCTAGATTTGATTGTAAGCTCACACATGAATAAACTGTTGCTGATTGATTCCGTTAAGACATGCGCGAACATTAAAGCATTGCGAAGGATGTATGATACGATTGAGATTCAAATTCGATCATTAAAGTCTTTAGGTGTTGCAGCAGGAACTTATAGTAGTTTACTTTGCCCAGTAATACTACAGAAAATTCCAGAAGAGCTAAATTTGTATTACAATAGACAACGCGAATCGCGTGAATCATTTGATATAGAACACTTAGTAGAGTTTTTGAGAAAAGAGGTAGAAATAAGAGAAGTGTCTTCTTTATTATCAG